ATTTAGAGCTTGCTTTCCTTCATGCCCACAGACTTTCTCCAGCCAGCCATGTGCTGTTCCATGTGTCTGTCCAAGCTTTCAGGACAGGACTCAGAGCATCCCTTCAATTAAACAATTGGTTTTCCTGTGCTCAGCAGAGCTAAATGGAGAGGGGATTGTAGAATAAAGTCTCCTGCCCCCATTTTCCATCTCAGAGCTTTACTCCTCACTCTCCAGAAGCAGTTTGTGCCTATCCTTAGATCCTGTGTTGCAAGAATTATGATTCAGCTTCACTCTAGGAGGATCAGATTTCAACAGTTGCCTCATTTGAAATCAGGCTGGCGTGGGGACAATTTGGAGGGTTTTGTGTGGCAACACAGAAAAGGCAAAAAAATACCCAGGAAACACAAGAATAGGAGAGTTGCTGTCACTTTGCAGAAAATGAGATTTGTTCATTAGAGGAAATCACTGTCCAGGCTGCTCTGGGGAGGGACAGGGCAAGGGCCACCTGCAAAATGAGCAACTTCTAAACCTCCAGAGCAGGAAACTTCACCCAGAGGCTGTGACAAATCAGGATTTCATTGATTTCCTGAGATTTTTACTGATTTCACTGAGAGCAGTGGTAGCACGAAGCCTGCACAGTCTCTTCCTGGGATGTTTGTAACTTATGTTGACTTTATAATAAAGCTGCTTTTGTTCTGCACTTCAACATCTGGTCTGATGCATTTAATTCCTCTGTGCTTTTGGAAAATATGCTGTGGTCAGTGAGCATGTTTAATACATTGCTAAAATATGTCACATGCACAGAGCAGGACTTGCCTCCACCTAATGGCCAAATCCTTGGAACCTGACAGCAAAAGAGTAATTAACATCATCTCTGGAGCATGGAAAATTCCTACTGCTTTTTTTGAACAAATAAAAATAAGCTGATATTTTCAGTCAGCTGTGATAACCAATAACTGCTCTCTTTTGGGAATTACCCCAACCCTACATCCACAGGCTTGTTAAAAATTAGCTCTGTGCACAGGGCTTCCCATGGGCCACACAGCTCCTCCTGAACTTTGGAATAAAAATGGAATTTCTTGAATTTCCCTTTGCTACCAGCAGAGGATTGCCAGCAAAACAAAACAGTGAAAAGCCATTTTAACTCGTGACTTTTTTTTAACCACTTTCTACAGGGAAATGCTCAGGAGATAAAAAATGCCCAATCTTTATTTTAATTTATTTTGTTCAAATGGTGTTAAAACCATTACTAAAACCTGACTGCATTCTAGGAACAGTGGGAAGAGGGACAGAAAGCAACAGATCTCCCTTGGAATTTTAATTGTATGCAACCCAAGAATCTGTGTGTTCATCTCTGACCAGTGGGATCTGTCAGTGCCTCAATACCTGTGAACAAGCCTGGGTGCAGCTTCCAGCACAGCAGCAGATCCTGAGCACAGGGAAAGCCCCCAATTCCCAAAGTTCTCTCCAGTTAAAACAACTCCCCATGTGTGGAAACAGCTTTGAACAGCCCTAAATCACTGGGATAAAAAGCACAATTCAGAGCATGTTACAGCTGCTGGATTTCACAAGGGCTCCACATCCCTCTGTCAGAACCCATCTGTATTTTTTTCTCTACTTGCACAAGGTAAGTTTTCCAACTTTATTTTATAAAAGAAAAGCCCAGATAGAGCACAGATCCCCAAAATATTGATGGCAGCAGGCACAGAACTTCCCAGTGCCACTTAGAAGCAATGTCCACCTGCTTTGCTCCATTTTACCATGGATATGTACACAGGAACAAAGGGGTTTAGCCTGGAGAAACAGCAGGAAAAAATGTGAGGAATTTTGATAAAAAAACAAAGAGTTTTTTGGTTTCAACAACTTGAGTATTGCAGCACAGATCCAGCAGCTGGGCTAGTGGAAGGTGTCCCTGCCTGGAATTAGACAATCTTTAGGATCTTTCCAATCCACAATTTCTGATTGAATGCCTGACAATGCTCCCACAGCGAGCTGGGCCCCTGAGGGAAAAGCAAAGGTTGGTTCTCAGGCTGACACTGCTGTTAGAAATTCATGTCCTGAGGCAGCACAACCCTGAAATCCCTGCCAGGTACCTGACAAGTCTCTGCAGGAGCTGAGCAAACACTGCAGCTGCCACAGCCAGGAGCACACACACTGCCCTGAGGGAGCCAGCAGTGCTGCTCTCCCTGCCATGCAGCAACAAAACATTTGATGCCAAAAGTGCTGGATTAAGGAAAACAGTCACTGAGAGCTTCCAGGTCCCAGCTACTACAACCCCAGTCACTGCTCAGCTGTGGAGAGTAAATTCAATTACTGACATGTCTCCAAATGAGGATTAAAACATTCCCTGGGTTAATACAAACTGTCTCTAATCCAGCTAAGCACAACAAATACTGCACCTTTCTCATTTTTCTTTTCTTTCTCATGTTTCAGCTCCAGCCTTTTTAACTGAGGCACTTCCAGCTCCAGGGCTTTGCCAGGAGAGGAATGATGACCTTGGGCAGCTCCTTACTCCTGGGGAGAAATCCTGTCCTGTCAAGCTGCCTGAAACCAGGCTCACTAAAAAATAACACCATGAAAACCAAGCATCCCGTGCTTTCATGACAATTTTATGTGCTCCAGGTTAAAATGTTGGTGGGTCCTGCCAAATTAAGAGCTGTGTTTGCTATGAAAATGAGGAATATAAGTCAGCAACAGTGGATTGAGGTGGCAAATAATCCTAAATGCACTCCAAGCTGAAGAAACAGAACTCCAACACATCAAGGAGAATTGAACACTGCTGGTGAAGCAGAAAGCAGAATATCAGTATTTGTTCCACACCCCCTTTTCCCAGCCCTCACTGAGGCAGTCTGTAAATTCAACTGAGCACCAGGCAGGTATTCTATAAGAGAAAAACAGATCAGAGCAAAACCTAATTAATTTTCACAGCGTACCATGACTAATCTTAGCATATATGGTACTGGAATAGCAATCACTGGGTACAAATGAAAACAGTCTTGAACCCTGTCCTATTTTTAATCAGATGAAAGCCACAAACCCAGCCATGCTTCTGCTTAGTGCTGCGTTTTCTTCTACCCTGATGGTTTTTACAGCTGGAGAAATGGCTCCTTGCAGCATTACTGGGCTGTAAAAAATGACTGCTCCTTCCACTTCTGGGATTACAGGGGAGTGTGTCACTGAGAAGGAGGCAACTCAACATTTCCTGGGACTTTTAACCCTTCCTGAGCTGTATCAGATCCTCTGAGTGAAGAGGTGCTTTGAAATGATTGAATTTTTCTGGTATCAAACTGTATTTGCAAAGTTCTGTAGGAAGCCAGTGGAAGAAAAGAGAACAAATTCCAAATTAAAAAATGTAGATGGTGCCCGACAGTATTTTTAATGATATTGGAAGGCAACATCTGAGGGCAGATATTTCCCCTGATTAATTCTGCCCTACAGGGCTCACAAAAGCTGTTCTGCACAAAGAGCAGCTCCCAGTTCAAAGACTTTCCTCATTACCAGTGATCTTTCAAATGCATTAAATAAAAATAATGTTAGTCCCATTTTAGCCTGGACATTTTCATACTTGCAAAGAGAGCCTGGAGTGTGGAAATGGAATAATTAACCCTGATTTGCTAAGGCCAGTTTTTAGCCAGGTCAGTATCCAATACAGCATTAGAAAAAACAGATTTATTCTGTAACAGAGAAAGGTGCAAGGTCTGTCTCCTCTCTTGCACTCCACTCTGTTCATACTTGGGAAGCAAGAGAAAGGTAGAAGTGGCAGCCAAACTGTTTAAATACCTTTTAAAGCAAGAAATATTTCTTGTTTTATCCACGAAATAACCTGCTGAGAGGTGCAATGTCCAAGATACCCACTCTTGGAGAACATTACTGGAAAGCAAAGCTGGCATTTCAAAAGGAGGTATTTCAAAAAACCTTCTTGTTTATTTCCTAATGGAAAAATCAGGATATTCCTCTCTCACTGACCATTTCTCCCTGACACTCACTTGTCGCAGACATTTTTTCATAGAAATCCTTTCTTTGGGATTTGTCCATCTTCTGGGAAGCAGAGCCCCAGAAGAAGAATGTAAAAAATTGTTATCAGTGCTGTGAAATGTATCAGGTGCCCCTGTGTTTGGCTCATCTTCCTTGTGTACCATTAAAGGCCAATCACAGGAGCAGCTCAGGGACAGATTCCCTGCACACAGAACTTTGTTATTCATTTTTCTTTCTATTCTATTCTTAGCTGAGCAGCTCTCTGCAACTTCTCTTCTTATTCTTTTTAGCATAGTTATAATGTATTATATATCTTATATGAATAAATCAAGCCTTCTGATCAAGAAACAAGATTCTCAGATTCTCTGAGAAACACTTCTCTCACCACAGTGACCATCTAAGGTCGCTGTAATACTCACTCTTCCTACAAATTTCTGTGTAACTCTGCTCGAGCCAGAAGTAAAGCAGCAAAATTCCAGCCTCCAATCCCAATGAAAATCAAACTGAGCATCAGCAAGGATGTGAGGCAGCAGCACAAGGAGAAGGACAAACCTTTGGAGTGTTTCCCTGAAGGCCTCTTGGGCAGTGACTCCTCCATGGAATGTGTGGATGTGTGGAGCACATTTTCCAAGCTGTTACTGACACTGTTGATGGGGGTCTCTGACCTTGGAGTGACCTGGAAGGAAAAGTACAAAAAATCCATTGAAATAAAGCCAGGGAACACACAAACATCACAGCTCCTCTGGAGTGAGGGATCCCCTGGGAAGGCACTCTGCTTTCTCTCAGAGCTGAGGGTGTTACTCCTGATATTCCCCCAGTAACAGTTCAGGGAAGTGCCTGCAGTCAGCAGCTATTCACAAACTGAGATTATCTTGGCTAATCTAAAAAGCTCCTTACAGCATAATTCTTTCTGAAACAATACTCACCCAGCAGTCAATTGCAGAGAGATTGTAAGACCTTTAACCTCTGCACACCACACATTTTAACTTTTCCACAAGAAAACTGGGGAAAAGGGCTCCTGGAAAATGTCACGTTTATATTATGACANCAGTAACCATTAACATCAGCCTTGCACAGAAAATTTAAATAAGCAGGCTGCCTGTGTTGAATTTATCTAACAAAAACATCTCTGAAATCAAGAGAAATGTTCGACTTTGGATATAAATAATTTTACTTTCTGGGTAAGCAAGCTGCAGTTGTATATTTAGTCTGGTTTTATCTGATGGAGTGCTTATTTTATTTACTATTCTTAGAGCACTTTTAAACAAAATGTTGGCTTTGTTTCTCATTCTTAAGAGGAGCTTTGCTCATCACAGAGAAATCTCCTGCTTTTCCCCAGAAAGGATTTTCTCTGGCACATAAAATTCCCTGAGCCCCCTCAAACCCAAGGTGATTAATTCTGATCTGAAAGTTGTATTCACCTACAAAATTACACATGCAAAGTCACTCTCCATGGAAAAACTGACAGAAAACTTGCATTTTTTTGCTAAAGTGCAGCAAAGCCCAGAAATCCAGACTCTCCTAAATCCCAAATATCCCAACCCAGCTGAGCTGAGGGCTTTGAAGTTTGAGTTCTGCACGGAGCAGCTGCTTGCCCTGAGCTCAGAGAGAGGATTCCAACCTCAGAAAGGAAACCAGAACGGGCAAAAAGTGACACATTGAGCTGGTCCCCACAGCTGGGGACATGAGCTGGGGCTTGCTCTGAAGTGTGGAGCAGTGTCCTAAATACCAATGGGCAAATGGAGACTCACAGCAACACCCAGGGAAATACAAAGCACCTTGAGCTAACCACAAACCACCTTGCTGGAGGTGAGGAATGCGGAGGGGGGCATATGTGGCCCGAAGTTTAGAGTCCGGCTCGCTGAGGGCCAAAGGCCGACGCCCCTCTGCAATTCCTGGCCAGCGCCCTTCGGCGTCTGAGGGCCTCGGGCTGTGCTGGCT